TATTGGAAATGTAAACCTAGACTTGTTCCTTTCACTTTGTCCCTGCTTTCCTGTGGACCGCTAGGAAACTGGTATTTCCCCTGGGCTTTGCTTTCTCCCTCCATTTCAGTGGAATTCATTGATTTAAAAATTGGCAAATACTTGGAGACAAAGAAAAAAAAGATGAAATACAAGTGCCAAGTTCTGTTCAGATTTACTTTTCTGATTCCTCATTTACTGCCCCCCCCCCCACAAATGCAGTAGTTGAGGGTTCATTGGGTCCCCAGCATGCATTAAAACAGCATAAAATGAACAGGTAGAGATTGAAATAAAAGGAAGTGAGAACAGCAGTTTTCTACTGCATTGGGATGTATTATTCTCATCTGAAGTCACTTATGGCTTTTGTTGGGACAATGCACCCAGCATATTGCCTGATATATAGTAGATGTCAAATAAATATTTGTTGAATGAATGACTGGACATTGTTGAATGAAAGGTAGAGTATAAATACATACATACATAAATAATTTTTAAATAAAATAAATATGGACTAATTCTTCTACCCCTTTTTTCTGCCTACCATGTTCCTGGTTCAACTTGGAAAAGTGACTTAGCCCTGCCACAGGAACCCTGCCTAAACTTTACTGCAAGTACCATTTATATCCTCTGTCAGGCTCTTGAAGTTGATAGGAACATGACAGGTTAGTTGGGCCAACTTTTCCCTTATATACATCTAGTGACAGGGAGCTCTGACTGCTGCATCAATGACAGATCCTGTACAGAACCCAAGCCTCTCTATAACCCAGACTAGGGTACTCTCCACTGTACTACCTGTGGAACTGTGAAGCTGTATTGTTCAAAGATGGTAGGAAAAGAACTTTCCCAGGAAGCGGGAGACCTACATCCAAGTCTGAAATCTGCCATTGACCTGCTGTGTGAAATTGGGCAATCTCTTTCCTTATGTGGGCCTCAGTTTCCCTTTTTGCACAATGAGGGGTTTCAAACTGGATGCTCTGCAAAACTCTTCCAGCTCGTGTGTTCCAGGATTCTCTAATGAGGTCTAATTAAGATCTCGTAATACAGTGCTTCTCAAAGTGCGGCCAAAGGATCCCTAGGGGTCGCTGAGACGCTTCCTAAGAGTCAATGAGGTCTCTCTTTCAAACTACGTATCCGTAGAAGGCAAGATTTTCTTCATATACTTCAAACAGCATGTTGCAACAGACTGCAGACACAGCTATGAGAATCGATCTGTTTTCTATTAAGCCAGATATTAAAGATAATAGCAAAAACTGCAAAACCATGCCACTCTTCTCAGTAAATTTATTTTTGTTACAGAAAATATTGTTATTCTTCATAAAATATATTTAAATATGTTCTAGGGGTCGGCCTGGTGGCTCAGCAGTTAACTTCACACGTTCCACTTTGGCGGCCCGGGGTTTGCCAGTTTAGATCCCACATGTGGACCTATGCACCACTTGTCAAGCCATGCTGTGGCAGGCGTCCCACATATAAAGTAGAGGAAGATGGTCACAGATGTTAGCTCAGGGCCAGTCTTCTTCAGCAAAAAGAGGAGGATAGGCGGCAGATGTTAGCTCAGGGCTAATCTTCCTCAAAAAAAAAAAAAAGTAAAATATGTTCTAAAAATATGTCATTTATGTTAACATGTTTTTTAAATTAATGAATGAATCAATCAATATTCTATACATGTCTTTGCCTTAATTTCTAATACAGTAAATATCCATAGATGATATCTATGTAAATAAAAACTCTTTGGTCTTTGATAACTTTTAATAGTGTAAAGGGGTCCTGAGAGCAAAAAGTTTGAGAACCGCTGTTCTAGTCATTCTCTGACTTCCTGTCTTATTCTGTACAGCCTTCTCCCTCCAATGGTCCCAAATATGATCTGCTCCATATCTGGCAGAGGGATGGACATAATGACCTTGGGAGGGAAACCATTCTTCCTAACTCACGGGTCTCAGACATACCAGGCTTCTCTCCTCCTTCACCTGGGTTCCTTGGCATAAAATGGTAACTCAGGATTTAGATGAGACACCTCATCACAGGCAGTGCCAGTTCCTGGGTCGGGAAATAAAGCAGCTGGTCTGGTGAGGGTTAATATGATGGCCTCCCTGCTTTTCTGCCCGCAGATTCTCAGCCCACTCTGGTTCCACCTGCCCTAATTGCTATAACTCTTTATACCCACCACCTCCCCACTGGACCCCGCCAACAAAGAAAGCAGGCTTCATTCCTGCGATGCTAATTATGGGGACCTTGGATGTGAGGCAAGGGAGGCCCTCTCAGATTCAGAGCCCCTATGGAGTGTGGGGCGGGGGAAGGAGGAAAACGAGGAGGAAGGATTTGTGTTAACTGAGAGAACCCAGTGCTCATCAGGTTCTTCATGACACATCTTACTTAACGACAAGCCTGGAGGGTGAGTGGGGATCTTTATCCTCATCCTCACGTTACAGCCAGGGAAACTGAGGGTCCCAGAGATAAAGCAACTTGCCTAAGGTGGTTACATAGCCGGAAAGCAGCTGGGCTTGGATTTGAACTCAGATCTAGATAACACCAAATCAATGCTCCTTCTGCTTTACCAGGGAGAGTCAGGAGCATCCAGGACAGGAAGAGGGAGCAAGGGAACTAACATCTATTGGACACTTACTATGTGCCAAGCATGGTGAGTGGAAAAGAATGTTGTCTCATTGACTTCTAACTGTAGTCCCCTTATTTAAACAGTGAATCCACAGTTTACAGATGAGGAAACAGGCTTCGAGAAGTAAAGTGGATTTACTAAGGGCACACTGCTAGAAGGTAGCAGAACAAGTGTTCAAATCTAAGTCTGTCTGTTCCCAAAGCCTAAGCTTCTTCGATAATAACAAATAACATTTATTGAGAACTTACTTTATGCCAGGCACCATACTAAATACTTTAGCTCGTTTAATTCAAACCTCCCAGCCAGATAGGTGCTATTATTTCCCCCCATTTTACAGATGGGAAAACGAAGGCAGTAATGGGCCCAAAGTTATCCAGTTAGAAAGTAGCAGAACTGGGATTTGAATCCAAGCAGTCTACCTCCAGAGTTCGTGTGCTTAACCACTGCACTATGATATCCTCAAGGCTAAACTGGAATGAGAGGCCCAGGACTGAAACCCAAGTCTCCTGGTCTCTCAGGTCAGTGTGCTGTGTACCATTGCCTCCTGAATGAATGCTGAAAGCCACAGCTGGTGCACCTCCTCCCAGAGACCTGAATCTAAAGAAGGAAATGAACACCAGGGAGCAAGGGGCTACACGGCCATCCTAGGAGGCCTGTGCTCCTGCCACACAGCCATGCTGCCGTGCAGCCTCTCTTCCAGCAGTTGCTCCCTGGTTCTCCATCCTCAGGCTTCTGGCTGTGGGGGAGGAGGGCATATGCTCAAAGACGAGAACATTGCTCTGCTCTGGTTCTTTGTGTTACTCCCCCACCCCATGCAGGGGGTTTCCCCTTATAAGTCCACATGCAGTTGGAGGTGGGTGGGAAGGAGCCACTTGTCTTTCCTTTAGCTGACTATCATCCTGACAGGGCCCAACAGAAAGGACATTTGAGATGGAGGTCAGGGCTAGAGAAGAGGTGAGAAATCAGTTATTGCAACCTCCCTAGGGTACAAATGGGGAAACCGATGGCCACAGAGTAAGTTGTAAACAGAGCTGAAGAGATCCTTAGAGACCCTCAGGACAAACCTCGGGACCAAATCAGTGATAAGGAAGGTCCACAAAGATAGGCAGAGGCTTGCTCAAAGCAGGCTTAGCATCTTCTAGGGTTCCAGGATTTGACCCTTTACCTGGCCAGCTCGGGTCTCTGAAAGGGAAGTGAGGCCAGGGAGAGTAAGTTATTCTGGGCCTTGTGATGACAAGTGCCCCGAGAGACCCAAGCCTGGCCCTTTTCCATGAGGCCCCTGGGAGCCTTCTGGCAGCCAGCCATGGCACCCTGCCTGCTGAGGCCTGTGGGAGGAAGGAATCACTGCTTCTTAATGGCCTCCTGCCCAGAAATCCTCCAGAACTGCCTAGTCCTAACTCTATTTCCACCAAAAGAACTGACTTCAGTGCATCCAGAGGGCTCAAGTTCAGATTCCAGGCTAAACTTCCGGATCTGGAGAGTTCTGAGCATGGGAGTGGATAAAGGAGGGACGCCATCATCTCCTCAGAAGATGTTCAGAAAAGGACATAAACCCAGCTATCTGAGCTGCTAAACAGCTGTGATGCCCTGAGGCAGGAGGATGGATGAAATGGCCTTTGAGGGCTCAGGTTCTCTCTGGGGCATTGTGTGATCTCCAATGAATTCCCAGGGCAGTACAGGAGTTCTGAGAGGAGCTGTAACTGTTGTCCAGAATGGAGTTCCTTCCAGACTTGCCCTTTACCTAATCCCAAACAGGAGTCATACATTAGACTTGAGCCTTAGAGACCTGTGACCCTGCCTTTCATTATACAGCCAGGAAAACTGAGGCCCAGAAAGGAGGGGGCCTCCCCAAGGTGCCAGAGTGAGTCACAATTCTGACTTTAAAGCAGCATTGGAGAATCATCCTGTGACTCAGGGCCCAGAGCCTCCCATCTGAGAAGGTTTCCTAAGGCCACAGCTTGTCCCCTTCCACCAACTGCCTTCATACCTGCCTGGGTCCTGCTTGGGTAGAGGGCTCTCCTCTCTGGGCCCTTTTCCTTAGCATTCTTTCCACAGACCTTGTGTGGTCGTGATTGTACTCAGAGGCCCCCAGGGAGAGCTGGTGTGTCATTCAGCAGGAGGCAAGCAGGCAGGCATGCCAGAGTGCAGGTGGTGGGACTGCAGGGTGAGACAGCAGGCAGACTGGACACTCCGAGCTTAGAAACTGTAACGTTCAGGGAATTTCAACTGGCATTGCTGTCCAGTCCCAGCCAACTGGCTAACGATGCCGAGTTTGAATCAGTGACCCGCCTCCTGATCCCTCCTCCTTAGCTAGCCTCTCTCCGTTCCTCCCTCCCTCCCTCCCTCCCTCTCTTCTTCCCTCCCTCGGCTCTCTGGGTGTGGAGGCGAGCTGAGCTCAGGCCAGCGCTGCTCTGCCTCTCCCTTCTCAGTGCTGGCTGATGGAGCACAGGGCCAGGGCTGGCTCTCGCCGAGCCCTGGGTCCCCTCTAGCTCAATCCCCAGAGAGGGAGAGGCTCGTGCCCAGCAGCGTTCTGCTAGGCCCTGTAAGCTCCCTGCACCCCACCATGCCTCTGCTGGACGTTTTCTGGGCTTGCTTCAGGAAAGTGAAGGTAAGTGGCTGCCCAGACCCAGCCTACCTCACTGCTCAGGGGAGAAGGAGGCAGCTGGGGACCCTCCGTGCTGGCTGCAAGGCATATGGGCTTCTGAGACTATCTTGGAGCTGGAAAGGCTTGGGTTCAAGTCTTGTTTTTGTCACTTAACCAGCTCTGTGAGCTTCTCCTGCTTTCCATAAAACTCTGTTCCATAAAACTTGCTTCTGTTGCTTTCCAGCCTCTCCACAAAGGCAAGATTCTTAAGCCTCGGTTTCCTTAGCTTTCAAATGAAGACAATAGCGACTCCAACTTTATAGGATGATGAGGTTGGTGTTATTGTTTACATATTAAATGTAAGCAGATATGAGATAATGTGTGTGAAGTTCCTAATGTGATGCCTGGCATGTAGCGTCCATACAAATAACGGTAACTACTGGGATTATTACTAATTTCCATTAACATATATTCAGCACCTACTCTGTGCTAGGCACTATAGGAGTTACACAAAGACAAAAAGGGATGTGGCTTCTGTCCTCAAAGAGGACATAAGAAAAGTGACAAATCTTTATCAAGCACCTACTATATGCCAGACACAATATTAGATATTCAGTCAGTCAATAAATATTTGTTGAGTGCCTGCTGTCTCCTGGACATGGGGGGTACACGAGCACAGCAGGACACACAAGGATGTGTAGGGCATGATTTCTGTTCTCAAGAACCAAGGAATTGGAATTTATTTAGCATCTGTTACGTACCAGACATAGGCACTTTCAATTCATTGACTGTTGTGGTAATATTCACCACAACCCACTTTTTTCCTGCTTTTGTAGGTGGGGAAAGAACAGTGTGAACAATTAAGAAATATTTACAAGGTCACTCAGATATGACTGGCAGAGCTGGGATCTGAACTCCTAAGTCGTTATACTCTTCTTGATGCTATGTGGCATCCCACAGTTCAACCCAGTAGGAAGACCTTTAAACAACTAGTTTGCCTGTAAGATAGGATGAAAGTAAGGCTGGGACCCTTGAAGGGAAAGATTACTTCCACTGGGAGAGACTTAGAAAGGTTTCTCAGGAGGTCACATTTGGGCTGAGCCTGAGGCTGGAAGGAAGAGACGAGTTTGTCAGTCCGAAAAGGGGGGAAGGGCATTCCAGGCATGCCTGGCAGAGGGAACTTCATGAGCGAGTCTGGAGGCAGTCAAGTGATGGTGGGTTGGGGGAGGGGCTGGTTTTGTGACGTGTCTCAAGTGCAGGGTTCAAGGAGAGAGGAGTTAGAGATGGGGAACTGGGAGCTGCCTCCCATAGGGTTTGGAATTGATCTGTGGGTTCGTGGTCCTCACCTAACAGGGGGCCCAAATGAGATTTTCACCAATCTGTGGTGAAATGAGAGAGAAGTGGGGATGATGTAGTACTCAGTTTTCAGAAAGCTAAATGAATTCAACTCAAAGGACTATTCTTCATTTGGAGACTATTATGTTCTTCTTATGGAAGTGGTGTTCAAATGATCTTTCTTTTATGAGATAGGAGTGAGAGATTCTTAAAAAGTCTGTCCTCAGAAAAATAAAAAATTTGCAACTCTCTGACTGTTCCCCCATTTATTTATTTAAAAATTGTCTTCCTCATCCATGAAATTCCAATGTCTTGGGACTGTTGTTTTAGGGGATGGGGGTGATTTCAGTAAAGTAGGGATATAATTAAATGGATGGTTTTAAGAAAAGCACTCTAGCAGCCTCAAGTGGGGATGGTGTGGAAGGGCCCAAGCCGTGACGTGGAGGTCAGGAAGGTGGCTGTGATGGTAGTAAGGATGGGTGGGGAGGAGATGATGAGAGACACATCTAATAATGAGGACAGGGCAAAGGGGAAGTGAAAGTGCCTGTGAGGTTTGACACCCACTTGGCACTGCTGTCCACTACACTAGTTAACCATTCTGGGTACTTGGCATGAATTTAAATCCCTTTACACTCATTACCCCAATCTCTCAGACTCCCAGCAAACACTCCCAACCCACGTCAGCCTCTTAGAAATTGTTGGGATAGAGGAGTCACAAGAAAGGTCAGGGACCTCTATCGTAGGTCACAGACACTGGCCCACATGCACACATTCACTCATGTGGGTGTCTGCAAACACAGGATATATTACTCTTAGCTGCACACACATATGCATAGACACATCATTCAAGCATGCACACGTACACATACATAGAAGGAGACAAACACATCCAAATTCACATGCACGCACAGGCAGTGCATATCCACAAGCATGTAGACTCACACATGTGCCTGCAAGCACATACAGAGGTAGGCGCACACAGACCCAGGCACATATGCAAAATTAGGTAGACATACAGAAGCACGCACACAATGCAAAGTCACATGTCCATGCATGTGCACACAAAGGGCTGTGGCAGACACGAATCAACACATGGTTAGATCTCAGGGCTGAGGCAGCCTGCCAAATCCATACACATACTTGGGTTTTGTGTTTCCTTTTTGAATGCTCCTGCATTGAGGCCTCAGTCAGATAGGCAGGCCATCTGGGCTTGTAAGGTCAGTCAAGTGCATGGGCTGCTCTGAGCCACCTTCCCTCTCTGAGCCAGGCCCCCTTGCGAGCAATTACATGGCTGTGCGAGAGCGAGAGCTGACTGTGGGGAGGGGCATTGGCTGTGTCAGAGCCTGCCATAACTGAAAGAGCCCTTGTGGATCATCTTGTTCAACTCTCTTGCGGTCCTGATGAGCATACCGAGCCCCCTATCATCCCACACCATATGGAGCTCTCCATCAGCTGAAGAAGCATGAGGAAGGGAGGAAGCTGAGAAGCTTAAGTTTGAATTCCAGCTCCGCCCCCCCCCCAACAACACAGACACGCACACATACTGGTTGTGTGCCTTTGAGCAAGTCCTCTCTGAGCCTCAGTTTCCTTGTCTGCAAAATGACATTAATCAGTGCCTGCCTCTCAGAGATGTCATGAGGATTCCGGGAGGTGGTGTCTTTAAAGCGCCTGGCATGGAGTAGGTGGTCAACACGCATGACTTTTGGAAGTCGATTTCTGAACTGTACCTCCAGGGCAGCAAAGCAAAGAACAAGAGTTATTCCATATTTGAAAACTCCAGAGTTGAGGTCTCAGGTCCCATCTGCTCCTTTTCCACAACTCCCCCTCTGCCCTCTACTTTGGCCCTGTCTGAATCTGTTACCAGAAGCAATCCATTTGGGAGCTGAAGGGTGACACCTCAGAAGCCAGGGACACTGGGAAGGTGGCAAGAGGCCAGGCCAGGGCCCAGGACTGCTTTAAGCTGCACTGGGGTTAGTGGTAGCCAAGGGACAAGACGTTTGAATGTGACATGAACCCAGTATAAACAGTTTCATATGTGTTTGATGTGTCTTCCCTGGAGGCCAGTTGGGGATGGGAAGGTATCCATGGCCTCTCAGCACAACCAAGCATGCATATGAGTCCCCGCACAGCCTCACACTCACACACGCGTACACACAGGACTGTTTCTTTGATGTGTCTTTTTGCCCCCTTCCAACACCTAGCATGGTTTTATGCACATGAAGAGTGCTCAGAACATGGATCCTCTCTCTTGTTACTCTCTTTGCATCACGTGGGCATATCAGTTCCTTGAGGGCACTGACCTGGGAGCTGGGGAATCTGACTGGGGATCCAATCCATATCAGCCATGACCTCTAGGTGACTTTGAGAGGATCAATGCTTTTTACTGTCCCTCAATTCTGTCCTCTTATAACATAGGTAGGTAGTCACACAATATCAGAGACGGAAAGACCTATAGAAGTCAGCTGTTCAGGGCCGCCGGTGGTGCAGCGGTTAAGTGTGCATGTTCCGCTTCTGCGGCCCGAAGTTTGCCGGTTTGGATCTCGGGTGCAGACATGGCACCGCTTGGCAAGCCATGCTGTGGTAGGCGTCCTATACATAAAATAGAGGAAGATGGGTAGGGATGTTAGCTCAGGGCCAGTCTTCCTCAGCAAAAAAAAAAAAAAAAGGAGGAGGATTGGCAGATGTTAGCTCAGGGCTAGCCTTCCTCAAAAAAAGCAAAAAAGAAGTCAGCTGTTCCTCCCTCCCTCTTCCTCCTTCCAAACTACAGATGAAGAAACTGAGGCCAAAGAGGGGACAAGATGTGCCCAAGGTCACACAGGGGCTCTGGACACAGCAGGATCCACACATGGTCTATGTAATAGGCCATAATCGCCCTACTTGTTCTGTGGCAAAATCCAAACACAGCTTTCTTTGGTAGAATCGAAGAGCAATATCAGGTGGAACATCTGTATCCATGCCACACACATAAATGCACGTGGTGGTAACCCTGTCTCGCCTACCCACAGGGCTTCTATGTGAGGCAAAACAAATCATGGACAGAAAAGTCTCTTGTAAACTGGGAAGCCTCGTAGAGGTTAGCCACCCAATCACGGTCCAACAAGGGACACCACTCTTTTCCCCAGTCACTGTACTCACATACTTGGTCATATGTGCATGAAGGTGCTCCTGAGTTCACCCAAGGACACATTCTCAAGCACCTTTTCCTGTGAGTCCACTCTCGTAGTGTGCATGGGACTTCCATGTGACTGTTCTTATCCCTGGCTGCCTGAGCACCTGTTCATATGGGTGTGTGCTTTCACACCCCTTCTATAGGCTCATGTTCACATACATACATATGCTCATGTGAGCACACGTCCTCACATGTGGTTGTTCTGGGCCCTCTCTGCCCCCAGGCCAGCTTGCAGCTTTCCAGTCTTCCCTGGAATCAGCCTGGCAGGATATGGGGTGAAAGTGTGACAATGACTAGGTGATTCAGCAGTTCCATTCCCAGCCTCCAGGACATCTCTACTTTTCCAGACCTTTGCCCTTGTCATCCCAAGCAAGACCAATTTGCCACGTGCAGTGAGTATTTGTTGTGGGAAGGGCAGGAGGGAGTATAGAGAATTCAGGAGAGCATATAAATGTATAGAAACTCTCAAATACTTCTGGATGCCATTCCCACATTCCATGTAGGAATCCTCTCTATCACA